CACCTCGTCACAGTACGTAAAAGCTCTCGGACGTTCTATCATTCCACTACATTTTATTTATCAATGATGAGTTATCTGAAAAATTCTCGGCACTTCCAAAATGGGCAACCAATCTATTTCAACTTGGAACAGCAAACCTTTTCCCATGTATACTTGGCCCCCCTAAACACCCTTTATAGGAAATCTGATGACCACGACAAAGGTTAACTTCAATGGGCAAAGGAGATATCAGAAATCATGAGTTAAAGACTTCGGAGCTCTTAATACCCTTTACTCACTACTTTTACACCCTTTTACAAAGAAATGGTTAACGCTATTCGTAGAGTACGCTTATTACGGAATGATCAATCATCGCTTACAATATCGGTATTATTGTATATAAGTATACGTGATTTAATACAATATAATATAATATAAAATAATATAATATAATATAATATAATATAATATAATAATGTAATATAATATAATACAATATAATATAATACAATATAATTTGATTCAATATAATATAATATATAATACAATATTATAATATAGTATAACAACATAAAACTAAACCACAACAATTTATCCCATGCTGCTCGTAACTGCGCCGAATGGCCACCGTTACTGGATTGGGTTGCTGTTAGTGGCCATCGGCCGTGGCGCCGATTGACCCTTGAGAATCTGACACGAATTCTTCAACTAAACATCGAAAGCCGTGGGGAAAACGCCGGGAACATTTCTCAAAGATGGCATGCGTACGCACACAGACACTCACATATGTAACTCGAGAGCTTTCTAAATCGAGTACTCAGATTAGATGCCGCAGCAGTTAAATGGAAGACACCACAAGGAATACTCGACAGCAATCATCACACCCGACAAGCTGCCTCTACAAATGGCAGCCTTGGGGGCACGGCGAAGACTTCAAACGCAATTGGATAACCAGAAAAAAAAAACAAAAAAGGATAAAAATATCAGGATCATTTCCGAAAAAAATCTTCCATTCATTCATGATTCGCGTTGAGCAGCCGATGCACAATTCAAAAATTTTACCCTACCAATCGAGTTAGGTGCCAATCAATCAACCCGGATGGCTTGGTTGGCTTGGATGAGTAGCGACTGAGAATTCTATCCCCGGATCATGAGAGTGTGATAGTAAGCCGCATGCCTTCCTACCTCCCTAATCGAATTCCTTTTTAGTGAACGCACCAAAAAAGTCATAAAAGGTAAAAGTACCTAATGAACTCATCAAAAAAATTACTTTTCGACTCCTTAGAGCCATCCTCGCCCGTAGTTTCCAACTCGCTAAGCGACTTTGAAACAAATGGCTTCTTTAGATCCCTACTACGAACTATTGAGTCAGCACTATTTTATAATGTTGGTGAAGTTCGAGCTTCGATTACCTCTAATACTCAAACTTCAACTTCGGGCCGTGTCCGTAGGCCGATGAGCCAGCTTTTTTCTGTCTAACCTTTTTAAACTGTGTGCACCATGAATACCGAACGTGTCCCCCTTCCTTGTCTTCACTCAGAAATCAAATTAAGACCACCGTCTCAAACAGAACACCCAGGAAGGAGGAAAATGAAGACAAAAAGGCAACGATATTGGGAAAGGGATCTAATGAAGAGGCAAGACGTGCCCCTGAACCCCTATATCCTCCTAAACAGTAGGTAGCCGTTCAGGTATCAATGGGCTCGTAGACAGATCAGTGGGAATGGTGAAGTACTGGTACGTGCTCGCCGTACCACTCACTTTATGAGGTAATCAGAGAGAAAGCAAGGAGTATGTGAGGGCCGAAGATATGTGCTATTAATGGGAAATGAATGGCCAGTGGATACAAAGAAAACAAGGGTCAGTGGCTGAAAATGGATTCGAAATGACATCGCGTCACATCGATATGTGACGCTAATTGAACTCACTCTTAATTGTGACCTAGAATTCATTAGAAAGTACAACTTTTTGGAGAACGGACAAAAAGAAAGGAATTATTCGTGGAAGGAAAATTGTGCGCAACTGGAGAACGAGGACGCCGCCGAAAAAAAAAATTCACCAAAAATCCAGAGTACGAGAGGAATTTCGGAAAAAATTATTCGAAGAATTAAAAAAATCGATCGAAGGTATGGATTGATTACACAAGATAGAATTGGTCTGATATGCAAAAACGAATGGAAAGCGGAGCAGAGGATCCTCATACGAGCGTCGAAATCTTTGACGGCCAGCATTCATATCGAAAAAGGGGATGAGTACTCAGCTTAAGCCTTGTAGTTTATCTATGGTCGAGAACGTGGACTCATTTGATGGTGTACTGGCAGAGTAGGAATAATCGCTGAAATGAATTCACTGGGGGACGGAACTAATGTGCGTCCGAGGATGCGCGCGGCAANGCGCGGCAAAGTTCATGGCGATTCGCACGATTCTGGCACCTACTACTGGGGCCCAAACTTGAAGTAGATTCGTTTAGTAGGGCCAGCCAATCCTACTGATCTACTCTACTTCGATTTGGGCCTCAAAGGTAGGCGCTGCAGTCGTTTAAATCGCCATGAACTTCTCCGCGAAATGTGTCGCGCGCAGCCTCGGACGCGCGTATGTACCCATAGCCGAATTGGTTTGTGCGGTAGATATTTTTGGACGTTTTAAAAGCATTTTATGATGTCGTGAGTTGTATAGATGGCAAAGAAGGGGATGGGGGATAAAAAATTGGTGTTATTTCAAAGACAAGTAGCCTTCACATGGATGGGTTGGTGAGGTGAACAGGGTTGCCCGGCAAATACCCATCCGAGCGTGATAGTCCGGTGTTCGGATCTCGAATCCTTATCTGTTGGGGCCAACCAAGCTTTCCATCCCTACGGTTCCGGTTAATTGGTACCAGATCCGTCTGAGAGAATGACAGCAGTGACATGTATATCAGGTGGAGAACGTTAGTCATCGTTTAGGCAACATAGGCACTCAAACCGCCGTTACGATTTCAAATGGAAGTCGAATATACGCATTTAGCAAACGAGATTGATTATTTCCAGAACCCCATATTTTCACCATATTAGTTGAAAAACAAGTAACTATCAAAGCGGGTGTGGTGTATTTGGATCGGTGGTTGTAGACTTCTTGTTCTGACTTATTGTATAACATTGTTACAGAGCGGAGAGGTCTTTTCAGCAAAGGCTTTTTGGTGTGTAGTGGATATAAATGCTGCGCAAAGATCGTCTTCAATGCTACACATTCTTCTCATTTGAAGAAAACACTGTACACGTGGGGTTGGCCTCCACCCTAACGGAACCGAAGTATGACATAGAAAGCACGATCCAGCTGGATAGTTTCAGGTCATATTAACACGCCAGAGAAGCGACAATGACATCAAATAGTACAGTTGCAAAAAACGGGAAAAAATCAGCTAGAATGACGTAGATTCCATTGCAAAAGCCGATATACCCCCATAAAAGTGGCGCTAACGGCACCATGTCATGTCGGACTGAGGCTGGCATTGAAGATTACGCTTATCTCGGATATGTTTTTTCAACACAACAGCAAATGCTACCTTTGTGAGGCCTCAGTACTCAAAAAATTTGCTTCCCAGTAATTTCCTTCCCTCCTAGAAGTTTCATTATGCTCGAATTGTCAACAACTTATAATCGACAAAATCTGACCCCTTGGATTTCCCTTCTGTTTATTCACACTTTGTTCTATTTGTGGGAGATGTTGCTTAAAAGTGACAGCCCTAGAGAACTGTAGGGTTACTGTAGGATCATATCCTACAACATTTCTACTCTGCAGTAGCCAGTTTTCTGCATGTCTTAGCGATTGATATTACTACGTAGAGCGCATGAAGAAATAAATAAGTAATGAATAAATAAAATAATAGCAATAAATAGTAAGACGTAATAATAAATAATAATACATGATACTAAGTGATAATTATTGATAACAAGTGATAGTAGAAAATAATAAACAACAATAGCAAACAGTAATCACAACAGGTAATGGTGGCAGTGAACCGACCAATTTTATTTATTCTTCATATATTTACTACGTAACTGGGTGTTTCGGGAAGAAAACCCACTGCAAGCAATGTCATTTGGATTCAGACAAACCAATTCCACAGGCAGTTTTCCAGCTATTTACTCTGCATCTGCCCATACGAATAAAATATCCGAGAGCTTTCTTACCGATGTGTTTTATATCGAGAAGAAGCGGATCGTAAGTAGCATTGATGGTAGTCGGACGTCGAGAGAGTTTCATCAGCAAGCAGTCCCCAGTGGAGATTTATGTGAGTGGTTGTGTTGGCACAGACAGTCAGTGGGATGAGTAAAATTCACATAAGGCGGCGTTAGCGAGAAACTCATCACGTTTCAAATCCAATTACGTTATTTTACAGCCGTGCAATGAACAATATATCTATGAGTGCTTTCTGGTTACCCCTAAACGCTTCTACTCAAAGAACAGCGAGGGTTTTGAAAACTTCCATTTTTCGAAACCTCTCAAAATTCCAGTTAGCCCGTCACAGAGATGCCGAACTATTGGCCAATAGGCTTCAGAGCTGCACGGGGTTGACACCCCTAATGGCCTTTAATGACACACTTAAAATTCGATTAAAGCACCTTGCATGCATTCTTTTTAGTTTACAGTTATTCTGTACAAACATATGGGCCCAAACCTAGCCGTCAATGTTCTGTGATATAGAGCTAAATTTGCATTCCCTATCTGCTGGCTTCTCAAGTATATTGTCGGAATTAACTTGACGGCTTAACGAGGGGTAATTCCGACTAGAAATAGCTTAGTTTTCATTTTGGAATAGACCACAGCTTCGCCGGTGTCAAATGGGGTGGAACAAAAGTACAGTTGTCCGGCTGAAGTTTCAATTTTCAGACTCAAATGAAAACTAAAAATCCCTTCAAATGAGGATATTGAGGCTTGATNAACCATTCCTTCTGCTTTCTCCTCTTGTGTGTATAAAGCCTAAAAGGAAAAGTCTTGGGGTATAAATACTCCCTGAGTCTGAGGAATGCGCCTGCGCATTCAACTTCCATTCAGAATCGTAGTGGCCTATTAAATGCGTATGTGGTCTATACAATAGTGGCCAGCTGATGCACAAGTCAGCGCTTTATCCTCCCAGACGAGTCTGGTAACAATTAACCGATTTCGAAGATATAGAAAGCTTGGCTGGCCTAAGCGGATATCGAACCGCGATACGAACCCGTAACCATGCGTGTGTGATAGTGCGCCACTTGCCACTACACCGCTTCCGCTCATGAACCTATATACCTAATTTTATTCACAATTTTTGAACTAATATTTGTTATCATAAAGAAATAGTCTCGTTCAGATATTTCTTGGGAAAACGAGATACTGACTAGGAAAATTGTAAGCAAAATAAATCTGCATTTGGAAGGTGATAAATGCGACTTCAATTTTTTTCTGAAAAAGATTTCTTTCTCATTCGCCGCTGAATTTAAACGTTTTGCAGTATTGAATTTTAATAGACCGTTCCGTAGCTTTTCCTTTTAAAGGCCATTAAATGGAGCCAATTCTGCCCCAAAGAGCGAAAAGGGTAAGCGAGCATCAGCTGGAAATGGAGAATCCTTTTATGGGCCCTAACTCATACCAGCTTCATTATTCTTGGGTATTGGTCGTCGAATTCGAGGGAAATATGTGCGAAACAGCTTAAAAATAACTGGTGATTACCTCTCCCCCTTACTCTACAATGGCCTACTCCTCGTTCGTTTTTCTGGTGGTTTCAAAATTACCCAAATGTGTTCGCCGTTGTTTGTTACTCTCCTCTCCAGCCGAAACCATTTCGGAATTGCGGCGCAAGTACACATAAACAATCAGCTGATGAAGAAAAATCGCAGTTCCCATTTTTGAAACAAACCTATAGAGTGAATTCCGAAGCTACCCATGACTGTTCATAACAACACTGACCCCTCCTACAGAATGTGCCACGAAATCCGGTGAAGCTGTGGTATGCCATAATGATTTAGTTGATGTGAGGGATGATCGAATAAGAAGCTAGAGTACACAGAATATGCAGAGTTAAAACGTTCATGTGGATCAACAAGCTTCCTTCTATGATTAACGTCCATATTCCGCGTTCGAACTGGCAACGGTCTTCCGCCCTTCGAGGGGTTGAAAACAAACAACCTTCGAAGGGGCGTGGACTGTTTGCCTTACACTGTCTGCCTCCCTCCTCCCCCCTAGCACTGCCTCCGCCGGCACGCCGGCCGGCCGGCACGCGCGCCGGCACGCCGGCCGGCCGGCGGACTATGAAAGCAGCCCTTAAAAGCGCCCCCCTGTGCTGCCAAAAATTTAGTTTTCAAGACTACTATGTAACCGTAAAAACATCTTAATACTGTTACGATGATGATCACCTATGACAGGATGCGCTACGCACATGAACTTTCGCTCAGATTCATAGCAGTATTTGTACGCTCTTGTTTGCACTAACCTGAAGAACCCGAACTATCCAACCAGGCCCGCTCATCCACATGATGGCCTGAGGAATTATTGGAAAAATCAACGACCAAGGGAACTGCTTTACAAAGAGATAAATCAAGCCAATTTTTTTTTCGTGAAACGTGCCTTCAAGTGATTACCGTGCTATATTTCGTTTTGCTAGTCTTCGAGGAATGAAAAGAAAGACAGTAATGCGGTAAGACAATAAAAAAATGGGTACCTCAAAAGATTATTAATTACTTGTAACTTGGAACAGGACATTAGGTTCAGGCAGGAATAAGTTAATTATTGTTTGAAAGGGAACACTTTCCCGCCTTCTGAAGTACACTGAAGGACATTAAGCGATTATAATGTTTCGAAAGAATGTATTAAGGGTGCGTAATAAATCAAGAATATTCAGCGTCTTACAGTTGTATAGTAACATACATTAAAGTGGTCAAAGACAAATAATGTACTGTCAACAGTTTGTCAATTTATCAGTTTAGCAGTAGACACCAATTCCTAGATTACTCTACCTCTTCCAGCATCCTTTTTACAAACTGGGCAAGTACTGGAAGTTTGTAATCAATAAAGAGCAAATAAATGAATAAATCGATTTCAGTTTCAGTCAATGAATCGATTTTCACTTCACATATACATTTAATAATGTTTTGTGTTGAAAATTTCTTACTATGAAGGCATAAAAGATAAGGTCTTTGGCGTCAATCTCGTTTTTGGGATGCGTCCGCATTAGACCTTTATTCGGAACCTGACTGACCTTAGCGCGTTGGGGTACGGGATTCAATCCCCGGACCATATGTGTGTGATAGTGCACCATTTACGATTACACCACCTCCGCTTATAAATTGCTTACTATATCCTTATCAGATAGATAATTTGTATATCAATCGCACCTATTAATTACCTACAAATCATTATTTCACATTCCCTGATATGAATGGTACCTCCTACCGACTCTGATGGGTAAAAAAAGAACCTGACTATAGGATATAACCCAAATCATTGTTAAGCAGCTCCATGGGGCATATCTTAGGGTTAGATATTAATTTAGAAACCATGAAATGAAGTACACTTCATTTTTGTTCTTCTATTTGTTTATCATGATAAACAAATGGCCACGAATATCGAGGGGAACTTCAATCACCCTTTGCCGGACACTAATAGCCGCCCCTATGAATCCCTCGCCGACGATACGTACGAAAGAGCATTAACGTCAACGCAAATGGCTCTACGAAGACGATTTAAGACTATCTAAACGACCTCCGTCTTCAAGCACTCACGCCGAGGATTGTCGGGAGGCGAAAAAACTCGGGAAGAAAAGACTGAGAATAGCTGAAAAATGAATGTATTATAGATCAGGGCCTAAAAATAAAACAACTTGTTCTGGTAAAATCTCATAGAAGCAGTAGGCCTTCATATTCGGCTGAAGTAACATTCCACAAGGAATGAAGGCACGCAGGACGAATTCGCAGGGAATTCGAAAATAGGCAAAAATATTCGTCAGGATACTGGTAAAATCTCATAGAAGCAGTAGGCCTTCATATTCGGCTGAAGTAACATTACACAAGGAATGAAGGCACACAGGACGAATTCGCAGGGAATTTGAAAATAGGCAGAAATATTCGTCAGGATACGATTACATCAACATTTTTGATAATCCAAGATCTTCCGAAGTACCGTGGTCCTTGTTAAAGGGTGCCCAACATCGACAACTTCCAGCACCACTTATGAGGGTCATCTTTCTCTCTGGCTGGCTGTCCTGTTGTGTATAGCGCTCAGCCGTAGGTGAAAGTCTTAGGATCAAGGACCAGGGAGATGAACGAACACAATGAGCCACTACAAATAACTGCTGAAGCGTCATTCAGCCGCTTAGCTTTAAGCACTTATTGACGAGACGCAACGGATTAAATACCACATTATTCACTTGTGGAAAACGAAACGGAAGTTCTTATGTCATTCACCGATGGGGCAGCAGTTTTCCCCCTAAATCCTCCTCCAGTTGAGCCAACTCCACTTCGTAAGGTGTTAGTGCTCAAAGGCTTACAAAGGACAGTAGAATTATTGCTTTAAAGTCTTTAGGTTGGTAGACAAGCTCCAGAAATGGCAGAAAGTGCTGGCGGAGAACGGACTCCGGCTGAACGTGAAGAA